CACGCCACAGGCCGCTAAAACAAAAAGATTTAAAATGAAAAATAAAATAAGGCTTTGAGATACAAATTAGACACGTCGTAAAAATGGAGAGGAAATAATCGCGTATAGTCAAAAAGAGCATATACAAAACCACAGGCATGCAGAAAAACTAGCAGATTCGCGATTTCAAAAAATAATATTTTATAAGCCATTTAAGAATATTTCACGATAAATAAAATACTAAATCACTAAATACTGTTATGTTCGTGTCAAATTTTATGCCTTTGATCCTTACGGAATAACCATATTAGAAATTTACTGGAAAACTATAAATTCATATAATTCAATTTTTTGCAAAATATTTTTAAACGATATATTAAAACAAAATATATTTCAAAATTCATAATAAACTACCTATTTTTATATACATTTTTTAATATGGGCCATGTGTTGTATGATTGTGATATATTTCCCAATGGTTGATCATTTTCTTCCTGATATTATATTATTAAATTTTCTCTAATATTGAAATTATACATATAGCATCAATGTTTAGAAGGCATTTTCCCTTGAAATCATATTTAGCTCTATATTTTCAAGTAAAAACGGATATCACTATCGCGATAAACTACCTATAATTGTACATCAATTAAATACCATTTTACGTTATTATATTCTATTAAGTTACTTTGTTGCTAATTAAATGCCATAATTTGATATTAATTTTACAAATTACTATTTCACTATAATTAGGTTTATTAAGGTAAAGTTGACATATCAGTGGTATTTATGAGATGTGTATTGAAGGCCAATGAAAATAAAGGAATTACAGTGTTGTTTGCAAAGTTAATTTCTGATTTTTGCTTTATTTAGACACTAATTGATTATAGTGAATATGAGTAATCATTGAAAAACAAATTTAATGGGAAGCTAGAAAGACCTATATCACAAATTTTAAAAATTGCTCTAGTAAATTCGGTAAATTTATTTAAAATAATTGCACACATTCTTATCATTGGGCAAACAAAATTCAAATTTCAATGAATAAATAATTATAACATTATAGAATTTCGAATTAACTAGATAACTATTACTATTATTTCTCTATGTATATAATTCCATGCATGTTTATATCGAATTCTCATTAATTCGATTATGTATTAATGTCTAATTAATTCCACATCCACGATTCGATTTGTTGTGCTCAACAGAACGTAGAATTTCACGAAGAATGATTATTGCATAATACATCATTCTCTATGGAAATATGAATCATATATACCTGCATTTACCTATAGACACTATTAGGTTTATGTGATAGTCGTTTGACTATTGCCATTCCATTTTAATTATTTAATGCTAACGTTTGTAATTTCGATTTTCATTTATCGCATTAATGTTTATAATTGATGAATTGTGCAATTTGGATATATGTAATTATGTACAATATTATTGGTTTTGTGCGTTATTACCAGTGTGCATTAAAATCAGATAATTTAGCAAATATGCGAATGTGTTTTGACAAAATAGAAGCGCTCATGCAGAATGAATAGAATAATGTATGCATGAAAATTTACTAACAGATGAATTTAACTAGATATAAAAGCATAGCATTTTTCTGAAACAAGCTTGTTTTTGTAATTAATATTTTTATTGGTACTGATAACTGATAATATATAAAGACTTGAACAGATTTAATTGCCTACTTGTTTATAGATTTGTAATCATAATTAATAGAGAATATAACATGCTGCATAATTGCAAACATGTTTATGTAGGTACTAAAATTAATATAATCAATTTAAACTTCTTGATTTTATGTTCGGCGTGCAATCATTAATGCTATATAAATTTTATTGATGTTGCAAATTGTTTATAATAAAGTATTTTATATTCAATCATAAAAATAAGATTTATGAAGTCGTCAAGAGTATAATATCTTTTGCTTAGATAATACAAATATTATATAAAAAAGAAAAATACTTCAGGAATATTCGAAAACGTTTAGACATACAATCTCGTAATTAGTTTGCTACATAATCAAAATTACAGAAATTGAGTAAATCTTGACAATTTAAGTAGTTTCATAAATATAACCAATTCACTTCATATTATAATTATGTCGCTATTGACAAAATAATCTTTTTCTGAGTAAATTTATATATAAATTGTTACACTATTCTCTTCAAATGGTTCTACATTATAATAACTAATCAATATTCCCCATTCTCAGGTATCTTTTTCTGGTATCAAACTGATAATTTCACGAAGATCTTTTCAATTACGTGTCTGAATAATTGCAACTCATTTTAAAACAAAAACAGACAAAGCCAAAATACAATCCATTCTTGCAATTCTCATTATCCAGATCACGATATACCTTGTCCAATTGGGTACCAGAAGAGAGAAACAAATTTCTTCCATGTTGCTGATTATTAAAATCATTGAAAAGAATAATTGAAGTTATTTGTTACCGTGAAATTTGTACTTTTGCTGAGAGCACGATGAAAGCTTATTATATCGAACGTGCAACCTTTTGAATGCCAAAAGGTAAATGGAAACGGTTTTAAATGTCTTCGATGTATCTTGATTTCAATATGATCAGGAAAAAGTCATGTCTTAATATCTATTTATATAATATTTCAAGTGGGTTCGGATTAGAATTATATAAATGGCGGAATTGCAGCAGAAATAAACTAAGAACGCTTGAGATAATTGAAAATGTTATATAGTTAAAAATTGACTTATTGATAAAATTGATGGTATTGCACATGCAATATATTTATTGCTACAGTATGGAGTTTATAGTAATATTTAAATTAGTTAAAAAAAATAAAATAGAGACCAATAATACTGACTGTTTCAAGGCTCCCAATTCATTTTCCATTATTATTCTAATCAAATATTCCAATAAATTCATTAAGCAATTAGTAGAATTACATCTCGTAGCATTAATAGAGTTGACTAATTGATGTCATTTATTAAAAAATAATTATTTATATAGACTGCGCAATTGTTACCAGTGCAATACAACTAATTGATTATAATTGATTTCATTCTCGTCAAGTGTTCATTCATGTAACTTTGAGAATATCATTTTTGTCGAGTGCGTAATCTAAACAGTATTAAACTTTGATCGGTAGAATAACTTATACAGAAAGCCATATCGTTGATTAACTGTCAATAAATACAATTAAAAAGATATCAGTTCTCGGATCCTCAAGATGTTGAATGCTGATCAATCACAATTATATACATATGTACTTGTAACACATTGACATTTGTATTCTCAACCCGTATAGTAAAATAGTAATTCACACCTATTTATATCCGATTAGGTTGATAGATTCAATAATCAATTTTGCAAATAATGGAAGATTTTAGCCTGTGTGCGAATTTACTTCAATAATTGAAACTAGCGTCGAGCTGATTCGTATTAAAACCCGCGAGGCGTTAACAATTAAATATCATTCGTGCGTCACACATGTTGTTATATACAATTGAATACGCACAATCGATAAAAATAGGGTCGATTTGTGAGAATTAAATTAGAACTACGTTTAAAATGTTACTGTAACATACTGTAAATAGAAATTCGTGATTCCTTTCATAGGTCACTGCTTATAAAATTACTTGTACTATCGGGCGGGTACGAACTAGAGCGGATGAAAAAAATAGAACTAACATAGAAAAAAATCATGCCAAATTTTATGTATAAAATTCAATGTACAATTTTTTCAATTATTGATTTTATACGTTAAATTTGGTCACTAGTCTTAAAATTAAAAGTGAGTATGTCGAATGGCAAAAAAAAACGGAGAATAAAAAACTGACAAAATTCCCGGTCTTAATTTTTTGCTGCAATTAATAAATGTCTTAACTTGAATTAGTATCTTTACTTTATTTGCTTAACACGTTAGTATAAATACAAATTTATAAAAATATCGATACTGGCTAAATAGCTTTTTCGTGGACATGTATTAATTGACAATGTTTAACGTACAACTTATTTGTGATTACTATAGATATGCTGATTTTTAAATTCAATTCTTTAAATAATAATCATTTAGAAGGAGATAATTATAGATTTTCTGAATCTTCATCCATTCGTCAAGTAGACTGTCTACATAACTAAAATTGTACCTCGATTGCAATTGTGACCATTTCAACTGCAATCGTAATCGTCACACCTAAATAATAGATTTGCTCCAGGTTGATTTGTATTGCGTAAAATCAGACAACAACGTGTCATTATATTGCCGATGGGAAATAATTTACAAACTGAAATGCTGCATCGATTCGTCCCGATTTCTAAAATAGATCCGATTCAATTACGACAGGAATACACTTACATGAGAGAATATAGTGAATATTCAGGATAGTTCATTATAAATAATTCAGAATAGTTGATTTTCAAGTAGATTCGATTGCGAATTAGAAATTATTAGCAATATTGGGAATATATATATATATATATATATATATATATATAATATAGAGTTTCGAACGAGAATCCAAAAGTAATAAAAAACAAGAAAAGTTTTTAATAAACAATTTCTTTATTTATTTATTGATTTACTGTCAACGTTTCGGAACTAGGTACGTTCCATCTTCAGGACATCTGTCAAGAAACATGATCTTGATGAGATTTAAGCAAACAATATGTTTAGGAAAAGAAAATAGATTTTTCTTAAATAATAAACTCTACAAAATATACACAAATCCAAGATTCTACCATTCAATATATAATATATATATATATATATATATATATATACAGGGCCGATCCTACCTTGCATGCGATGCATGTGAAAAATGCGGGCACACGCCTTAGGGGGCGCCAACACGAGGTTCGGAAATAAAATTTATATTTTTTTTAATATAAATATGAAAATATAGATATGAAAATGTGAAAAATTGATGCAAAATTTACTTTGGAACAAAAATCGTTGAGCTTTTTTATACCGTTGTTTCCATAGTCTAAATTTAATTATTACCTTTGCAGAACCCCACGTGATATTTCATGGATTTTTGTCAAACATTTCTTGATTATTGGACGGCCTCTAAATAAATGTGAATATAGTAATTATTTTTACACAACCCAAAGCCGAAAAAATTAAGTAAAAATTGATTAGAAGGTAAAAGATAAAAATTGATTGAAAGTTATTAGCTCTATAGTTGATGACAATTATGCTTGATTGATTCTGTAAGTATTCATCAGTTATAACCTTTGTTTAAAACTATACGATCATTATCTTCACAGAACCCGTATCAATCGAATAAATTTTAATTACGACAAAACCCGACGGCATTGTACGTTATGTTAGTATGGCCAGAGTCGGAATTATGTATGCATAATTGCCTGTAATATAGTTCCATTGAAACCGTCGAGCCGGCCGGTTGATTGTATTTGCGCGGTTTTGCACGCCAGACGCATAAAAAGCCAACTATTGTGAATCAAAGGCGTTATAGGCGAAATCGGCATAAAACGCGTTCATTGTACTTGCGGTTTTACGATCCCGTGTAAAAATGAAATGTTTATTATATCGACATGCGAGCTGCGATCATGCTTAACAAATCAATTACAGTATAGTGTTGGGTAAAACACACAAAAGATATAAATGAAATTTTACATACATAGATGTACGTTCATTTCAATAAAGCTGCAATTTTCCGATTTGCGGCGAAGCATAGAGAATAATCAAATACTATAATTTTTCACCATGCTAAATCACTCGGTAGCAATTTTCATCGCTTTTTTTTAATTGAAGAGCTGAATTAGCTTTAAAAAATTGGCATGTTTAGACATATTTTTAAATTGTAGTAATTGACTTTGTAGAAATTATCAATAAAGTATAACTTTCAATTTTTGTCAGTAGAAATGTTCAACTACAAATTTTCTTAATTTATTATATTATTGCAGAAATGAGCATCAACATCGTTATTCATATTTTTCAGAGTGTAATGAATATGAAAGTAGTTCTTGAAGAAATGTTAATGAAGTTATAAATCATGCTAGATTAATTTCATGTGCACGCTTTAAAATTTTGTGTAAATTTTTAGTATTTTCTTATGCTTTCATCTATATAATATTCTTAAAAACAATGTAAAAAGACCGATTTCTCAATATACTCGAAGAGTAGTTTACTATTTAAAAGCTCCTGAGAAAAATCTGTAAAAAAATCTTGCCCTCTTCTATTGTATCAACACATATTTTTAGCATTTATTATATCATTAGCAATACAAATCAAACCTATATTAATATTATTTGTTTTCCTAATATAATCGGCTAAAATAGCTTTCAATTGAATCAGTAGCAAATGAATATGAGCAATACTTTCGTCATTACAATTGCAATAATTGAATAAATAATTATTATTTACGTATAATTATTTTGCAAATAGAGCGATATTAATTGTAAATACATAATTATGAACACAATTACATAAACACGTATAATATTTACAAATATGTAAAATAATCATTATGCAATTATTTTTTATATAA